TTTTTATACTAAGTGTATTAATTCCATTAACTGGGAAATGTACAAATATTGAATTCCAATTAAATTTAATTCCACAAATAAAGTTCCTTCAGGAAATAAAAGTTATTTGAATTAAATTTCATCCCTTTTGTGATGCTTTACTTGTTAGGCTACCTGGGAAACAAGTGTTTACATTCTAAATTCTTTAGAATTTAAGTCAGTGACCATCGCACCGGTATGAATTGCATGTCGGCCGTGTGGGGAAACTTTTTAGAGGTGTCAGTCGTCCCTGCAGTATAAATTCATCTTTATTTTACAGACGCTCTTATTCAGAGTGACTTACAGTTAGTGAGTACATACACATTTTCATACTGGCCCCCCATGGGAATCAAACCCACAACCCTGGCGTTGCAAGTGCCATGCTCTACCAACTGAGCTACACGGGACATTTATTATAACCATCCGGAGGTGTGACTTATTGAAACCAGAGCGGACCAACCACAGAGACTGAAACCAACCAATATATCCAATCAGATCAAACCAACCAACTTCCTCAAAGACCTACTAGTGTGATAACCTGTGGGGGTAGCCTGAGTACAATACAGGTTCATTGTAGAAAAACACAAATTATCACAGAGATATATGAAACATCATACATCCAAATAAATTACATCAAAGTTCTCTTCATAGCACAAGGTATGGATAGGTACCAAACATATATGCAAATTCTAACACACGCGCAGTGGTGGACTTACCATTAGGCAGAAGAGGCAACTTCCTCAGGCCTCACATCATCAAGGGGATAAACATTTTAATTTAAATATCTCAGCTTCAGGTCCACCCATGCTCTGCTCAAGTCACAAAGAGATCAACACGTGGACCTACTACAGAACGTGTGTTTAACCTCTACGGGATCGGTGTCCCGTATACGGGACGGTTGAGCTAACGTGCGCTAATGTGATTAGCATGACTGTTGTAAGTAGCAGCAAACTTTCCAGGACATAGACATGTCTTATATGGGCAGAAAGCTTAAATTCTTGTTAATCTAACTGCGCTGTCCAATTTACAGTAGCTATTACAGTGAAAAAATTAATTTTAGTAGACGCTCTTATCCAGAGCAACTTACAGTTAGTGAGTGCATACATTATATTATTATTTTATTTTTTCATACTGGTCCCCCGTGGGAATCAAACCCACAACCCTGGCGTTGCAAACGCCATGCTCTACCAACTGAGCTACACCGTGCTATTGTTTGAGGAGAGTGCACAACAACAACAAAAACGTATCACAGCAACTGGTTTGATACATTCACCTCTGAAGGTATATAATGTACTTATATTCAGTAATCTTGCTCTGATTTGCCATCCAAAGGGTCCAAGGGATAACATGTAGCATAGTTTTGTTTGATAAAATCCATTTTTATATTCAAATGTAGGAACTGGGTTATACAGTTTGAACCCCTGCTGTGTCTGGCTCAACACCCACCCCACCCGGCCATCTAGAAGTGTGAAAGTTAGTGTATAAGCTAATGATCCATCACGTATGACATTCCTGGGAGTGTGTAAACTTACATTTTGTATTACCATATTATTTTTGTATGTTCTCTATAGTTATGTACTTGAAAATGTATCAATTCGGCACATTTGGGCAGACTTGATACAAAATAGTCCAGTATTGCAATGCTTTCCTGGATCAATCTGAAGCTTTGCGCACATACTGCTGCCATCTAGTGGCCAAAATCTAGATTGCGCCTAAACTGCAATATTATATTGTGGCCTTTTTCTTGCATTTCAAAGATGATGATAAAAAATAAAAATAAACGCATTTTTTTTTTTTGTATTATCTTTTACCAGATCTAATGTGTTATATTCTCCTACATTAATTTCACATTTGTTTCCTTTCAAATGGTATCAAGAATATGCATATCCTTGCTTCAGGTCCTGAGCTACAGGCAGTTAGATTTGGGTATGTCATTTTAGGCGAAAATTGAAAAAAGGGGTCCGATCCTTAAGAGGTTAAGTGATGATGCAGCATTGTGGCCGAAAGCGCTGTCTGACAAACAGAGTTGTGATCTTGTCAAAAAGGGGCCAAAACAGATCAGAGATTGTATTCCCTCAAAGTGGGGACCCAGTCCCTCAAAGATTTAGTAGTGACAACTATGAAAACATTATGAAAAACAGAGAAAAAATGACACGGCCATGGCTTGTGTATTCAAGTAGAGCTGATGCAGCGTTTTGTTTTTGTTGTATAATTTTGAGAAAAATAGACTAATTTGAGCAGTGATGGTTTTCGTTACTGGAAGAATATCAGGACTAATTTGAAAGCACATGAGCGTTGTACTGAGTATTTACAAAACATGGAGAGTTGGCGCCACCTTGCGGAACAATTGAAAACAGGCACAACCATTGACGCAATAAACCAGACTGGTGGCGAGGTGGATCGCATCCTGACAAAGCCCCTGGGAAGAAGTGCTGGCTTGGTTGCCCTGGGTGTTGCCTACTTCAAAGGTACTAGAGGGCTGGGGTTCAAGTCCTTATTTCATCTTCAGAAGTTGTTTTCACCTTTTGGCTCCCATTTGAGTGGCGCAGTGGTCTAAGGCCCTGCATCGCAGTGCTAGCTGTGCCACTAGAGATCCTGGTTCGAATCCAGGCTCTGTCTTAGCCGGCCGTGACCGGGAGACCCATGTGACGGCGCACAATTGGCCCAGCGTCGTCCAGGGTAGGGGAGGGAATAGCCGGCAGGGATGTAGCTCAGTTGGTAGAGCATGGCGTTTGCAACGCCAGGGTTGTGGGTTCAATTCCCACGGGGGGGCCAGTATGAAAAAAATATATTTAAAGAATGTATGAACTCACTAACTGTAAGTCGCTCTGGATAAGAGCGTCTGCAGATAGATGGATAACTCGGTTCAGTCAAAGTAGAGGGATGGAGGACTTCCAGCTAGATAGGTAGGCGCTCACCAGCATTGCCATGATGACCAAGGACCATTACCCATGGAAATTGGGCATCAACTCAGACCAGGGCTGCACAGTAAGTACACATTTAATTTGTTTTCACAGCCTGGTATAAAATGTTTAAAATGCTTTCCAATTTATCTCTCCCCTTCTCCATTTTCTCCCTGTCTCTTTCTCCTTCCCTCCCTCTCTCTCTGCAGATTGTTCAGATGCAGGTTGATGTCAGTATGTTTGTGTTCCTCCCTGATGAGGTCACTGCCAACATGACCCTGGTGGAGGAGAGCCTGACGGCCTGGTTTGTCCAGGACCTCTCCATGACCCTTCAGCCTGTGAAGGTGGCCCTCACACTGCTTTCCTAGAGTTCAGCTACTCCACTGACCTGCTGCCTCTGCTCACTGACCAGGATGAGTACTCATTCATCCCACCTCATCCTGTCTTTGAATTGTTGTCTCCCTCCTCCACTCCTCCTCTACCCTTCTCTTCTCAACCCTTAGGACCAATATAAAATGTGTAAGGATGTATAAGTTCTTGTGGACTATCTGGTCCATTTTCTACAGTCTTTGATGGCAGGAGTGCATCTATCTCTCTCTTATCTCTCTGTAATTTACATACGCTCTTATCCAGAGCAACTTACAGGCACAATTATGGTTAAGTGCCTCGCTCAAGGGCACAACGTTATATTTGTTTTCACCTAGTCAGTTCGGGGATTCAAACCAGTAGCCTTTCGGTTACTGGGCCAACGCTCTTAACTGCTAGGCTACCTGCCACCCGTAGCGCCCTCTCTGTATCTCTCTGTCTGTATCGCTCTGTCGGTAACTACAATTTAAAAAAATAAGAGGAAAGATAAGCGTAAGGGGTAAATATCAGAAGTGGAGGGAATAATCTCTGTTTCTAACCTGTCAAGTACCTTCTGCCCTCTCCCTCTCTCCAGGTCTATCTTGATTGGTTGCAGGACACAGACCTGATGAAGATCACCACTCAGGCAGCAAAGCTCAGCAGCCTCAATCACAAGGTGGCACACACACACACACACACACCAAGCAGCACTTAAGAGGATCCTAAGAGGGGACCAGACAATAAATATCATATGTATTAATAGTATTAATCATATGAAAATTATCAAATTAATTTAAAATAATACAAGTCTGTCTCCACTTATCTATTTTCCTGCCTCCTTGTCTTCTATGTGATGATGCAAAGACCTACTTTACTTGTGAAGGAAATTTCAAGTCTTTTCAGCCTGTGTTTTCAATATCCTTCGAGCCGGCTCTGAACAGCTCTTGGGGGAGGGGGGGATCAAACTGACATTAAAAGGTAATAAATAAATAAACATTTTGGGGGGGGTCCCAGCCTGGGTCCTCCAAATCACTTGTCCGCACCTGCCCATTTGACATGGGAGGTCCTTTGAGAGAGTTCAGGAAGTCTTTTGTGTTTTTTGGGACCATTTGACCCCAGGTGACAAATAGCACATGTGGGGATGGGGCCTTCATGAATATAAACGTCGATTAAATACCTATTTTCACTACCTTTCTCTTGTTCTTATAGTAGCTATGTATGAATATTTTTAATGGGGTTTTACTGCCTTTGGTGGAGATCATAAATCAACTTCTATAAGTGAGAATTGTAATCTATACAGTGATAAATTCACACGTCTCCAAAGCGTTCAGTGTGTCCTAGATCAGACTCTGTAATGCTCTATTTTATATAATATAAGTCTACTTTAAAATCTGAATTTTGCATTTTTATTGCACATAGTTTAGGCTTACTTTATAGTAGGCTATGCATTATATAACGTTGACACAGAAATGTGATTAGGGGTAGTTCATAGGCCAAAATTGGGGGGTTGCTGTATTCTGTGTGGTTTCACACTTTAATTGCAAAATGACACAGTTCGGGCTAGTTGGAAATAGAATATGTTGAATGGCATTACCAAAGATGGTAGGCCTAGTAGTATTTTGTGACCTAGTTGCTTTTAGTGGCCTACCCTTTGGGACCTTCACTACTGAGCATACTAAAAGCAGTATCGCGCACAACCTAACCAATCGAATTCGTCTATTTCTCGTCGGAGCCTTCCTCCCTACTGCCCTTGTAAAAAAAAAACTCCTCCAGGGTTAGTGGAATGAATATATCCTTCCTTTTTATTTGATCAGTCCTAAACACCGGACTGTAATCAGATATCAGTAAATCATTAATAGTAAGAAATCCCGTATATTATTGGACTTTATTGTGGATTATATAAACAGGGCACTTCACGAAGGAGAACTAGGCGGGTGCGACGAGGGATCGAGGGACGCCGCCATATTTGCTCTTGCTAGCTAGTGCACTACGAGATACGTGCTTTGTTTCGTGTACCCTTCATTTTAGTACCCTTGTATTTGTTCATGATGGAAGCGATGGATAAAAGGCCTTTTGGTTCAGAATATAACTATAAAAGTAAGTTTTATGCTAACAACAAATGTCGTTTTCAAACATTTGTGTTAACCTAATTGTTTATGTTAAGCATAGGCTATTATTTTGCGACGTCGCAGAGTTGGAGTCTGTTAAAGTTATCAAAGTTATTTGTGTGCTGCTGATGGATATGCTAACATTGTTGTATTTTTTTCCCCAATAAGTGTCGGAAAATGACATATCCAGATTGATCAAATTGCGTGCAACGAATGACGCCATCTTCACTGGGAAGAGAAACTCTGCCATGCCTGCCTGGAGGTGAGTGATACAATGATGCTCAAAACAAAAGTGGATGTTTGTTGGCTTTGGTAATGACAATTAGTTGTGGCTTTCAGCTATAGGCCTACCTCAAAATGAACTGTCTGGTATGCCTCTTGTTTACTGTATTTGATATGAGAAAATGTTCTATTTTATCAGTTTTGTTGATAAATCAATGTTGAATCACTGATGTGCTTTTCCTGACAAAAATATAATTTGAAAAACATGTAGGCCTATGGGAAAGTCAGTCTGTTAAGAGCAAGTAATGAAGATTAAACCCTATCAATATCTGACTTAACACACTTTGATTCTGCAGAGCAATGTTAGTGGAGTTGGGTCTCGAAGGAAAGCTTACAACTGGGCAATTGAAAAAGAAGTGGGAAAACCTTAAAAAGAAATATAAGGTAATGATTATGAATGCATGTGAGAGCAGGCAACACCCTTGGCCCTAACTCAAGATTTATTCTCATTTATTTGACTCACTCTTGAACACAGATTCCAGGCTTTGATTCCAGCCCAGTACTAACCCCTTTAACTAATCAAGGGCTCAATGATGCGTTTAATCAAGTGTGTGTCATAACCATAAGGCCTGGGAACAAATCCTGCAAAGACAAGTAATAGAACATTAACCTGATTGTACCCTTTGTCCTCTTTCTGTGTAGGATTTTAAGTACCCTCCTCTTGGCATGGAGAAAGTCAATCCAATGTCCTGGCGTTGGTTCCACCTCATGGACGATGCCATCGAGGGCCGCCTATCTGGGTCTGCCCGTATCCTAAACCCTTCACTGTTTGATTTTGGGGAAGTTGGGGACGTTTCATTTGCGTCCTCTCCCACTACCTCTCCCATAGCCAACAAGAGACTTTGTATGAGGCCGGAGGGGGGTGAGGGGACAAACATTTTTGAGTTCTGGGCCAAAGCACAGTTGGGGGAGAGTGTTGGGGCTGCGAGCACGGTAGCAGATGGACAGGTGGCGTACACAGACGCAGCTACAGAGGAGATCCGGAGGGCCGCAGTGGAGTGTGAGAGGGCCCTGCGAGAGGAGGGCAGGGGTGGGGTTCAGAACGAGAGGGCCGCGCCTGACAAGATGCCAGTGGGTGGGTACGGGAGGACCATGGCTGAGGACGTAGAGACCATAGCTGAAGATGGAAGAGCCATGTTGGTGAGAAATCCTGGCAGGAACATTGAGAGGGAGACTGCTGAACTAGAGCGACAGATAGCAGATTTGGAGAAGGAGAGAGAAGTGTTAGAGAGGGAGCAGGCTGACTTTGACAGGGAGAGGTTAATACTGGACAGAGAGAGGGATGTGGTGAACAGAGAGAGGGTGGCTGTTGAGCGAGGCAGAGCGTCACTGGACAAGGACAGAGCGGCGATGGATAGGGAGCGAGCGGCAATGGAACGGGAGCGAGCCATACTGGACAGGGATAGGGCGTCAATCGAGAGAGAGCGGACAGAGCTGCAGAAAGAAAAGGAAGCCCTAATGAAAAGCAAGATTTCCAGGAACAACGGCTCTGCTGATGTAGAGCTGGACTCATCTACTATAGAGAAGAGAGAAAGACTGCTTTCCATATTTGAGAGACTTGTTGATAAGCTGTGAAAATTAACCATAACTAAAAAAGTGTCTAGGTGAAGGATGCTATAGGTGACACTGTGCGCACAAGACATAAACAGGTTTCTATGTCACCAGGCCCCCTATCATTGTGATAATTTTCATAAAGTTAACTAGTGGTGGCTCTCAGATCCTCCCTGCACACACTGGGAGTGCAGTCATTTAATTGGTGCTGGCTGAAATGAGCATTTGAGTGTGTGAGGTTTCACCCGGAAAGAGAACCCGCTACGGTGTTTGTTGCGCTTGTTTCATTTTTTTGTAGCTTGTATACCATTAAATGTCATCCACTATTTAAGTATAGGTTTACACTACGAGAAATGACAAGAATGTCTGTTCTCTAAATGCATTTGGCCATTATTTATGTTCTGTTTGACCTGCCAAAGTGCCAGTGTAATGCTATACTGTTAATAAAGGCCAGTTTTTATTTTTTATTTTTTTATGTTCCTCTAGTTGTCATATACTGCCATTACTATGTAATTACCCTGTACCATGTTAGTAAATATAGTCCTTTACAATAAGCACTATTCAACTGCCTATATTTACATGGTGGTCCACTGTAGCTCAGCTGGTAGAGCACGGCGCTTGTAACGCCAAGGTAGTGGGTTCGAACCCCGGGACCACCCATACACAAAAAAATGTATGCACGCATGACTGTAAGTCGCTTTGGATAAAAGCGTCTGCTAAATGGCATATTATATTATTATTACATAACTGGTACAATGTAATGTTCCTCTATGACCCTGGAATAATACCTATAATATAGTGGCATAGCCTTCCTCACTGCCACAATGTCAATGTTATGGTCATTTCATTATATTTACTTTAAAAAGGTGTGATTGAATCTTGCAAAGACAGTCAGATGAATGTTATCAGTTTAAGATATTTATTTATCCAGTCAACATTTGCAGAAAGAAATAATCACAAAAGTATCTTTCAAACGACAGTCCATAAATGTTCTTTCAATGGCCGAATTCCACCTATGCCTAATGGACAACTCCTTAGACACTATTGTACTGCATTACAAGTTTAATAAAGTCAAAAAGGTAATGAGGTTATCTGAACACCAAACGCATTAGAGCTTGTCACACCTTATTGTCTTTGTGCAAAATCAGTACGATTCCATTGGCTTTAGGCTTCCAAAGGTGTCACAGGCCCTGCAAAAGGCTTGTACATGTGAGCATTTTAAAAGGCGCACATTACTTCCTGCCAGTCAACTCAACACTCATGACCTTTTCTTGACAGACAGCTGGTTGCCAGGCCAGAGAGTGTCCATTGGTTGGTCGTGGTCACTAGGGCCTGAGAGACCCTGAAGTAATTGGAAAAACGTTAGGCCATTACCTCACAAGAGTGATGTGCCTAAACAAAACATCTGGGCTACCTTGTCATAGCATAGACGATCATTAGAGGAAATGCCTGTATCCAACGTGTCACGTTTATCTGACTGTGAATCGACATGGCAGAGAAGACACTGACTGACGGCAAGGGGCAAGGCCAAGCAAAAAGCGCACCTACTGACAGGCTGCAACAGGTGCATGGCTGTGGGACAGGGAAAATCCAAAAGACCTCAAAATTCCCCCCCAAGAGGAAATAGAGATGTGTATGTGATAATCCACCATGCAAAGCAGTACAAGCTCTCAAACATCAAAATAACTATAAACACACTTGGAAGGAGTCATCAGACAGAGAAGAGCATACAATATACAAAAGATGGAGCTCTATAAAATGTTGGTCATTTTCTAAAACAATGTTTTCTGCACACCTTGATGCCTGCAGTCGGTGTGTGCGAAGTTCAAACGTGTGCCAGTCAAGTTGAGAGTGCATAGGGTGGGGGTCAACAACATCCACTGAGGAGACAGAACATACACTATACAGTTGAAGTCGGAAGTTTACATACACTTAGGTTGGAGTCATTAAAACTTGTTTTTCAACCACTCCACAAATGTCTTGTTAACAAACTATAGTTTTGGCAAGTTGGTTAGGACATCTACTTTGTGCATGACACAAGCAATTTTTCCAACAATTGTTTACAGACAGATTATTTCACTTATAATTCACTGTATCACAATTCCAGTGGGTCAGAAATGTACATACACTAAGTTGACTGTGCCTTTAAAACAGCTTGGAAAATTCCAGAAAATGATGTCATGGCTTTAGAAGCTTCTGATAGGCTCATTGACATCATTTGAGTCAATTGGAGGTGTACCTGTGGATGTATTTCAAGGCCTACCTTCAAACTCAGTGCCTCTTTGCTTGACATCATGGGAAAATCAAAAGAAATCCGCCAAGACCTCAGAAAAAAAATTGTAGACCTCCACAAGTCTGGTTCATCCTTGGGAGCAATTTCCAAACACCTGAAGGTACCCCGTTCATCTGTACAAACAATAGTACGCAAGTATAAACACTATGGGACCACACAGCCGTCATACCGCTCAGGAAGGAGACGCGTTTTGTCTCCTAGAGATGAATGTACTTTGGTGCGAAAAGTGCAAATCAATCCCAGAACAACAGCAAAGGACCTTGTGAAGATGCTGGAGGAAACAGGTACAAAAGTATATATATCCACAGTAAAACAAATCCTATATCGACATAACCTGAAAGGCCGCTCAGCAAGGAAGAAGCCACTGCTCCAAAACCGCCATAAAAAAGCCAGACCTGCACATGGGACAAAGATCATACTTTTTTGAGAAATGTCCTCTGGTCTGATGAAACAATAATAGAACTGTTTGGCCATAATGACAATGTTGGAGCAAAAGGTGGTTGCTTGCAAGCCAAAGAACACCATCCCAACTGTGAAGCACGGGGGTGGCAGCATCATACTGTGGGGGTGCTTTGCTGCAGGAGGGACTGGTGCACTTCACAAAATAGATGGCATCATGAGGAAGGAAAATTATGTGGATATATTGAAGCAACATCTCAAGACATCAGTCAGGAAGTTAAAGCTTGGTCGCAAATGGGTCTTCCAAATGGACAATGACCCCAAGCATACTTCCAAAGTTGTGGCAAAATGGCTTAAGGACAACAAAGTCAAGGTATTGGAGTGGCCATCACAAAGCCCTGACCTCAATCCTATAGAAAATGTGTGGGTAGAACTGAAAAAGTGTGTGCGAGGAAGGAGGCCTACAAACCTGACTCAGTTACACCAGCTCTGTCAGGAGGTAAATTCACCCAACTTATTGTGGGAAGCTTGTGGAAGGCTACCCGAAACGTTTGACCCAAGTTAAACAATTTAAAGCCAATGCTACCAAATACTAATTGAGTGTATGTAAACTTCTGACCCACTGGGAATGTGATGAAAGAAATAAAAGCTGAAATAAATCATTCTCTCTACTATTATTCTGACATTTCACATTCTTAAAATAAAGTGGTGATCCTAACTGACCTAAGACAGGGAATTGTTACTAGGATAAAATGTCAGGAATTGTGAAAAACTGAGTTTAAATGTATATGTCAACTTCCGATTTCAACTGTATATACAAAAGTATGTGGAAACCCCTTCAAACTAGTGGATTTGGCTATTTCAGCCACACATTTTGCTGACAGGTGTATAAAATCGAGCACACAGCCATGCAATCTCCATAGACAAACATTGGCAGTAGAATGGCCTTAGTAAAGAGCTCAGTGACTTTCAACGTGGCACCGTCATAGGATTCCAGCTTTCCAACAAGCAAGTTCATCAAATTTCTGCCCTGCTACAGCTGCCCCGGTCAACTGTAAGTGCTGTTATTGTGAAGTGGAAACCTCTAGGAACAACAATGGCTCAGCCGCAAAGTGGTACACCACACAAGCTCACAGAACGGGACCGCCAAGTGCTGAAGTGCATAGCGCTTAAAAATCGCCTGTCCTCGGTTGCAAAACTCACTACAGAGTTCCAAACTGTCTTTGGAGGCAACGTCGGCACAAGAACTGTTCGTCGGGAGCTTCATTTAATGGGTTTCCATGGCCGAGCAGCCACACGCAAGCCTACGATCGCCATGCGCAATGCCAAGCGTCGGCTGGAGTGGTGTAAAGCTCGCCGCCATTGGACTCTGGAGCAGTGGAAACGCGTTCTCTGGAGTGGTGAATCACACTTCACCATCTGGCAGTCCGAAGGACGAATCTGGGTTTGGCGGGTGCCAGGAAAGCGCTACCTGCCAATCAATCAATCAATCAATTTTATTTTATATAGCCCTTCTTACATCAGCTAATATCTCGAAGTGCTGTACAGAAACCCAGCCTAAAACCCCAAACAGCTAGTAATGCAGGTGTAGAAGCACGGTGGCTAGGAAAAACTCCCTAGAAAGGCAAAACCTAGGAAGAAACCTAGAGAGGAACCAGGCTATGAGGGGTGGCCAGTCCTCTTCTGGCTGTGCCGGGTGGAGATTATAACAGAACCATGCCAAGATGTTCAAAAATGTTCATAAGTGACAAGCATGGTCAAATAATAATCAGGAATAAATCTCAGTTGGCTTTTCATAGCCGATCATTAGAGTTTAAAACAGCAGGTCTGGGACAGGTAGGGGTTCCATAACCGCAGGCAGAACAGTTTAAACTGGAATAGCAGCAAGGCCAGGCGGACTGGGGATAGCAAGGAGTCACCACGGCCGGTAGTCCCGACGTATGGTCCTAGGGCTCAGGTCTCTCAGTTGGCTTTTCATAGCCGATCATTTAGAGTTGAAAACAGCAGGTCTGGGACAGGTAGGGGTTTCGTAGCCGCAGGCAGAACAGTTGAAACTGGAATAGCAGCAAGGCCAGGCGGACTGGGGGCAGCAGGGTGTCATCATGCCCGGTAGTCCTGACGTATGGTCCTAGGGCTCAGGTTCTCAGAGAGAAAGAGAGAACGAGAGAATTAGAGAGAGCATACTTAAATTCACACAGGACACTGGATAAGACAGGAGAAGTACTCCAGGTATAACCAACTAACCCCAGCCCCCCGACACATAAACTACTGCAGCATAAATACTGGAGGCTGAGACAGGAGCGGTCCAGAGACACTGTGGCCCCATCCGAAG